CATATAATTCCCTCCCTAATGCAAGAGAACTGACTTGAGGAACTCGGGAACTGTTCTGGAGCAAGAGAGAGCCGTGGTTGACTCAACACCATTAGATCATGTGTGGCACACTCTCTGTCCAACACACATGCACGTACCTGCTGCTTTGTTCTCGGCCTACAACATCTGTAGAACTGTTTGCACGCTTGGGAAAAAATGCTGATGTTTGCTCTAAGACTGACACCTCCTCGGGTACACAGGATTTCATTTCAGCGTGGTATTGCTTTTGAAGTTCAGCTTTTATGCCGTAAAAGGCTCCTGAACTAAACTACTGCCCCAAAACATCAGCGCCTTTGCTTTAGGGACTTGAAAATTTTTACTGGAGAATCTCTAAAAAAACTCTTGAACATGGGGTAAGAGAACACATGACTTCAGTACTCCATCGGAAAACAACTGAACCCTCAGTCCTCGGGCAAAAATTTTCGAAGAATATTTATCCGGTGGCTTTGTACCAAGAAGAATAAACCCATTAAACCCATCCTGCAATCTGACCACCACTGCCAGTGAATAAACTCAGAATCTCTCTGCTACACCTACTGTAGGACAGATCCTATTAACAAATAAAGATTACTACTGCCAGGAGGCAGGACTCTAGGACGAGACACACATCCCAGTTCTACTCCTGCAGCCTTTCAGGTGGCCACAAAGCACAGCACAGCAAGCCCTGGGCAGCACCTAAAAGCCCACAGCCCGCCTCCACTGCGCTTTTCCACTTGCAGCAATTTTGGTCCTTTGATTGAGCTGCACACTTGACCTGGCTAAACCTTCCCCAGCTGAGCGAGCTGCGTGTTGTGGCAGCGCCGGGTTGTGAAATACAGTGGGAGGCCTCCTGTGCTCATTTGTGTGTCAGTACCCAGAGTGCTGCTCCTGGCTTCCAGCTCCTTCATAGAAGTGCTGCTGGGACTGGGACCGTGGGAACGGGGTGCTGCTGCCGTGTGGGTGTGCAGGGACAGCTCCCCCTCCCCGGGCCCTGCTCACACACAGCTCTGCCGTGTCTGGCACCGGCCAGGGAAGCTCCACGTGCAGGGGCAGCGCTGGGAGAAGGGGCTTCAAAAGACACAGAGTCAAACCCACCCTCCTGCTCTGGCAACAGCAGCCAGCAGAGCCTTCAGGGCTGTGTCTGAACTAATTCAGGGCGAGGGCAGCAGCCTGGTGTTCAGCCAGCACAGAGCTGTCTGTCACACGGGAGGGACACACCAAGGCCAGATCTACCCCACAACAACACACTCACCAAGCACCAGCTACTGAGCTCAACAGAAAGGCTTTGGCACCGACGGGGAATTTCTAGGACCCTGTTTTGCAACCCTGTCAAGTTATTCCCATTTTAGATTTCTAGAAATACCCCAGAATGGAGTGGTTGTGCTCCATCCACCAGTAGTGGTGGATGAAATGAGAGACAGGTAGGGAGACAGGACACCCACATGAGTAAAAGTCACATTGGTGCAGGGAGGCTCTGAAGGACCAGAGAGAAAGCAGAGCAGAACACCTGCATGAGCATGCAAGAAGGTGGAAAACCCAGTGAAGGACACAAAATAAGCTAAATGGAGAAATTATCATGTGGCTCAAGACAAGAAAGAGCTTTGGGAAGTGGTAGGAAGGTGAAAGACCTTATGGGAGGTCAATCACTCATCCAAGCATGAATAGGGAGGATATAAAAATCAAAATCTTAGAAGAAGGTAAGAAAGTGATGGAGGCCTCTGCGGTTCCTGCTGTAGTGGGGACTCCAGTTGTCACAACTCCCTCCAGTTTTTGGTTAAGACCCTTTGCTGACTTCACATAGATCCAGACAAAAGCTTCTGCAAGTGGCAAGACCAGGCAGCAGGAGTTGTTCAACCCACCCGGCTGACCGAGAGACGAGATATCGACATCCACACATCCCTCTCCCAGTACAGATGGATGGATATGCACAGCAGATCCTTGATGCATACAGAAATATGCATCGGGAATGAAATATCTAGCAAAAGCTACGCCTTGTAGCAAAGCTTTAAAACCACACCAAGAAAAAAGGGGAAAAAAAAGAGAGAGAGGGAGAGGAAAAAAGGCAGTTTTGCCACTACACCGAATCTGCAACAGGGGCTTGTGCCAACCCAGCTCCTCCATTTAAGTCAGACCCTTAAAAGGCAGAGCTGTGCTGGCAGAAATCTACAGACCTCATCACAGAAACCTCATGAAGACACATGAAAAGGTCAAAGAACTCACTGCTGCTTGAACAGCCATAAAAATGATCATATGCATCCCATGCTACCAAAATCCTACCAGAGCCCCAGGGAGACACAGCACACAAAGCAACGTGGCTACACACAGAGAAAGAGAGAAATTTAAAAAACTGACAAAAAGGCCACTCCTGAGAGCAGAAAACCCAAAATCTGACACAGCAGCTTATGGCACACCATGCACACCAACACCTCTGTACAAAACAGAACAAAGCAAAGATCTACATCAAAAAGGAAGCCCACCACAAAGACACATGTGCTTCACCCTTTCATCCCCGGAGACAGCCAGACCCAGAGCCCCACAGCCTCACCAAACCCACAGGAATTCACACAGACACACAGAATGGGACCATCCTGTCATTTCCTCACTCAGCACCTCAACTTTACTCCGTTCCTTGCCCCTGGCCACAGCCTCCCAGTCTTGGAGCCTGATTAAATCTCTCCGTAATTACCCGCACGCACTGCTACAACACAAATGACCTTAGCATATGATATCCGTTGGCTGAGCCCAGTGGAAAAAGACTTCAGGAAAAGGAAGGATAAGCGTACAGAACTCTGCCAGCGCTGTCAGGGTCTCCTCAGGACTGCACTGAAATAATAGGAGCCCTGAGGCCAGTTCAGAAGCCTTGAAACTTAAGCCCAGTTCTGCCCAGGATGTGATAAAATGTTCTGTTTTCTGTATCCCATCATCTGAGCACACACTTACCCCTCTGTTCTTCCCCACCGGACTCTTTGCACCTTCCAAATAAACCTATGCAGGAGACTTAACATTTTATGATGATGGATTTCTGGCAAAATTTTCCAAGAAAGAGATGGCCACCATTTCCTTACAGAATTTTTGGCAATCACTACCAGGTGTGTTGAACTCCCTCTGCTAGGAGTGCTGCACTCGAGGGTGGGAGAAGGGTGCTTCTCTTATTCTGAACTGAGATCTATGAAAAGATCACCAAAAAAACTGAGGCAAAGCCAAAATTTAACAATCTTTTTCTTGTTCTCCATCTTCAACCTCACCTGGGATGTTGGATAAACCACACAGCTGAAGAGAACACCCAAAAAGCCTTGTGAAAAAGGAAAGCACTCCACTACTAACATTCATTTTAATTAGACTCTGGAAACGACCACGCCAGGGACACAGGACCCTTCGGGAGCAAGAGTGTGGAAATTTCTTAATTCTGCTTCCCAAATGAAGCACACCCTAGAAAATTCCTTTTCCAACATGAAAAATGTCTCCACTTGGAGAGCCATGTTCTCCTCTCTCATCCATGTTCATCTGTCCCACCATTCCATCTCGGCACATGACTGACAGAGAATAGACAAGCCATTAAAAACACATCCACCTCCAACCACGGGGATAATGTGCCTCATTACAGCCCAGCTTTGTCACGGCGTCCTGACACTCCGGGGAGGAAAAGGAGGGGTGAGGACAACGACTGAGCCGGGGGCAGGAGAGAAACTGGGACTGGAGGAGTGGGACTCTGCTCCTTAATCCAGTGCAATGGGCTCTCTGGGCCTCCTAGGCTGGCTGTGGAATTTTAAAAATCCTTGCGTTTGCCTGGGTATTTTTGTTGCATATTTTTAGAAACAAAAACTCTGCTTCAGTCAGAGCGTACGTCTGCCCCTTTAAACAGGTATTTGGTAAGGTAATTCAGAATTCTGCTGAACATTCGAGGTGGGCTTTAAACATCGCTCCTCTTTTCGAGGCTTGTGCATCGCCCTTCCACTGCACACACAGACACCCAAAGCCAAGTTGGGGCAGCTCTGGCAGCGGGGCAGAACCCAGGCAGCAATCCTGCAGCAGGAGTTTGCTTTCCCCTGGCACGGGGGAAGGAGGGAGGGAGCTGCTCATCCCCAGCCGGTTGCACCATCGCCAGGAGCCAGACAGACAGCCCGGTGTCTGTGAGTCCTCAAGGCCTGTGGCACTGCTGCCCGGGGAGCAGGACCGCTGCCAGATGCCAAGGCAGCCTCCCACCCACACACCAGGGATTCTGGGATTTAAAGGCAGCTCAGACTGAAAGAAAAACAAGAGACACCTAAAAAAAATGTGCTTTAGCTGTCTGGCTCAGCACGGCACGGCAAAGCTTGGGGAGCTGCTGCAGCTGGCCCTGGACAGAGCCATTTGTGGATGCATGCATAATCCAATATACAAAAGCCAGGCTGGTGGGGAAATTCAGGCTCCACGGGGATACTCTAAAACCAGGGACTTCTCCATTCACGTTCCACACACTTAATATGAAAACCAGTGACCTGCATCACTGTCACAATTATTTTCTCGACAGCCACATTTCATTTCCATACGAGCGTTTAGAGCACTGAGCCCCCACCTCCCTCCCTGGCGACACGCAATCGATCAGAAAAGTGAATGTACTTGAGTCTGGAGCCATCACTACCCGCTCCTTTTTTCTGGCTTCTTCCTTGCCTTGACCCCTGAATGAAGCCCTTGAGACCCAAAAATCACGTACTTCCAGATGAAGTCTGGGGCAGTGTGGTGGGCTTCGAAGATCAGGGTCCACGTACAGTAAAATATACAAACACACATATGGAATTTAAACAAACTCCGACCGCCGCGTTCAGAACACAACCAGAGAAATAAAGGTGCCATCTCGAGCACCGCACATGCAGGGAGAATGGAGAACACCATTAAAATTGCTAAATGACTCCACGGAAAAGCAGCTGGTAACGAATTGGGTATATCGGTGAATGTTACCGAAATTCCCCCCAGCCCCCTCTAAAACTGCAGGCATCACTTACCCGGGGGGCTTTCCTCTTGTATTTGTTGTTATAGTCAAATTTTTCTTTCATTTCGTCTAAGAGCTGGCCCAGTCTAGCTTTCTCCTCTTTCCCAGTATAATCCTGGCTGAGGAGGATATAGGATCTCCAGTTTGCAGAGTCAAAGCCCCAGTGGCAAGTCCTGTTTTCCAGCGATTTGTGAGAGTGGACCACAAATTTGTGAGGTGGGTACATGAGCCTGCAGTCCAAGCACTGGATGCAGGCTGCGCTGGGGTTACTGTAAAGCTCTGGCACCAGGAGTCCCTTACACTTCCCAAAGCACTCATGATACACCTTGAAGCTCTTCTCCGTGAGCTCCAGCTCAATTGTGCTCGAGAATTCCTTCTTGCAGTGGGGAGGATAGGTGCCACCATAAAGCAAGGCGTTACAAAGCCTCTCAGCGTCAGTTTTCGTGATGAGCCCGCAGGAAGGAGCGGAGAAGGGCAGGATGCCCATGACTTTGAGGATTTCCAGCTGGTCAGCAGTGCATCTGGAGCAGTAAATATGCAGCTCATCACACACCGAATTAATCTGCTGCAGGGAGAAGTCCCTGAGCACCGAGTTCAGGATCTGGGGCAAGCAAAGCCGCTTCTCTCCACCCACCACGAAGCAGGAGATGGTTTCCCCTTCCAGGATGGTCTCGCACCTCTCTGTGGATCTGTCCGAGGGCATGAAGAAGGGACCGGGCATGACCGGAGGAGGCTGGATTGGGGGCAGATGCAGTACAGGTTCCGCGGGGTCTTTGCCATTGTCTTTCTTGTACATCTCCTGTGCCCATCGTGCTGAGAAAGCAGCAGGGCCACCCAGGGAGCTCATAGAGCTCAGATGAAACTGTTCCAAGGTCTTCTGCAGTCCTGGATGAGGCTGGAAGCTGCTTCTACTTACAGTCTCCATTTTTTAGTTTCTATTCCCAAAACAAACAACAAAAATCCCCAGTTATCTTCCACCCTGGTACAAATCCACTTAAGGGATTTTTTTAAGGAAAAAAATATGAACAAAATAAAACAAACCCACCCTTGTTTTTTTTTTTCTCCTTCCCACTCAGCAATCCACTAACGGAGAGGAAATAAATCCTTTTGTATGCGTGTCTCTCTCTTCTTTCTTTCCTCTTGGTTCGTTACAATTTCAAACCCTCCAAGTCTCCAAGCTGCCCCGATGGAGCAGAGAATCACGGCAAAAAGAGGTCTTCATCCGAGCACTCACCCCCTCAGCCAGCCCCCAGGCAAACCGATCCCTCCTCCCACACCTCCGACACTCACACACTCACTCACACACACACACCACCCACGGAAACACAAAAAGTCTGTGCCACGCTCCGAGCACCCGGGGCTCAAATATGTTCTGGCGGCTGCTGCTTCTCTGCAGTGATCCCCCTTCTGTCCATATCCACCGGAGGAAGGCGCGGGGGAGGAAAGCAGAAAGCAGGAGGCGGCAGAAGGCTCGGTCTGCGCGAGAACAAGGCAGGAGGAAAGGCCCCGCTCTCCGGCGCTGCCGCGGGGGCT